AGAGAGAGAGAGAGAGAGAGAGAGAGAGAGAGAGAGAGAGACCTAAAATGGGCCTATCCGTCAACTTATTATTTATTAGCAACCTCGGCAGGCTGCATTTTGTCCGTCAGTTTTTTTGTCTTTAAACAGGGCTTAGTATAGACAGGGGCGGTTTGTTAATTGGTGCCGGTCAGATTTTTGTCAGCTGAACTGTTGACTAGAGGTTTATTGCTGGTGACGATTTTCATTGAGTTTTAAGTAAATCCAAACAAACAAGTATCTACATTCAAAAACACCTGGCCGATTTGAAGGCGCTCAAATAGACAAGTGGGATTTACTGCTGATTTGTTGTGACATAACCTCATTCCTTCACGTTCGTTATCGCGTCGGCTCGTAACTTTAAATCGTCTTCCGTCAAGCCGTCACGTCGCGGAACTTCGTTCTACGTACGAGCCAAACACACGGCGTGCTTGGCTTAGGTTAGGCCTAGCGATGACGTCAGTCCCATGGACAAATCCATCGTCAGCCCACAGAGCGATTAGGCCTAGGCCTAGTACATCCCTTAATTGCCTCTTTGTAGCTTACAAAATTAAGAATGAGACTGTCTTGAGCAGCACAAACACATGTATTATTTTATCAGCAAAACTTGTATTTATCATTTAGCCTTTCTCTAACAGCTATCAGAACATTTATTGTCAGCATGGCACTAATCTTTTTTGTTTATTGACTTTTTAATCACCTATAGTTCCTGTTTGGCATTTACTCATCGTTTTCTCCCGACTCATAACTTACCTGGCCCATAGGAGTCTGGCCGGCGGAAGGGGGAATTGTCTAGTGAAGATATATATGGAGAATTTTAAAGAGGAGCCATAGGCACTCGGCTGTCAGAGTCTGGGCCAGGCCTACCCCCTCTCTTCCTTCCCCTTTTCCACCGCCACCCCAGCTAGACACCAAGTTCTATAATTAGCATTGGACACACCTCCCCACTTTGTTACAACACAGTGTTCAGTGTTCAATTCGGAGAACTGAGAAGTGCGATAATTTCATTTGATGATATAATGATCGGAAACATGTGTGCTAACTTTGTCCAGCTTTGTAGAGCATCTGATTGTAGACTTGATCTGCTTGGGTCAGCGTCACTGGTACAGTAGCAATTGACTTTTTTTCATCATACAGGACAGTTCTTATTGCATATATCTAACGGGTCCAGTGCACGTCGATATTTTGTGTGGGAGTGTAGAAAGTACAAGTACTGTACTGGAGGCCAGGACCAGCGGTTTATTGCTTCTCACTTTCAGTTTGTTTTCTAGCATAGACTCAAGCAGTGTTTCTTTTTCTGTGCCGATCAAGTGAGTTTAAGCTATTATAT